TTACGAAAGTAAACCCCGGGACCTTTTTGATGTCGAGTTAGAAACATTTTTTCCAAATTTTGACAAATTTTGACAAATTTTGCCAAATTTTGACAAAGCGCAAAAAATTTCTTGCCATTTTTTGTCATAATTTTGCCAAATTTTGACAAAGACCAAAAAACTTCTTGCCAAATTTTGACAAATTTTGACAAATTTTGACATAATTTTGACAAGTTTTGACATAATTTTGACAAGTTTGGACATAATTTCGACAAATTTTGACAAAACTCAGAAGAGGCCTTGGCATCATTTTGCCAAACTTTGGCAAAAATTGGCCACAATTTAGCAAAGTTGGAGTGTCTTGAAAACTCGACCAAGAAACTGGGAAGCTCAAGAAACCCGGAACCCTTGGCCAAGGGATGACCTCCGGGCGGTTGTGCCTACTTGGGGCGCTTGGCTGCGGGGTCTGTCCCACTGATCAGACTCGTCAGACCGCGTCGACAAACTTGGAGCGCTTGCCCGTGGGATCTGCCTGGCCAGAGTTGTCAGATCGGTCGCGTCGCCTCTTTTGGATTCCAAAGCCCAGCAAACTCGGGGCGGGTGCTTGGCTGACGGGTCTGGTTTCTTTGATAAAGGAAGCGGCTGGGGTTTGGGAGATGCAGCGCTTGATGAACACGTCCGGGTACCCCAGCAGTGGAGCCAGGGTTGGCACTGGTGTCCACCGCTGGGCATCGCTTTGAAAGTATCCACGTGCGCTGCGGGTCGTGCCAAGATTCATCATGGGGCACACATTTCGGGGCTTTGGCGTGTGGCGCTTGATAAACACGCCGGGGCGCCCCGGCGGGGTCAGGGTTGACACTGGTGGCGGTGTCCCCGTCAAACGCGGGGCATCGCTTTGCGTGTGTCTTTCCCCGCCCGTGTGTTGCGGTTGGTTCTTGCGCCCAGAAGGTGACCCAACCAGCCACCGGCTTGGTAGGGGGTCGCACGTTCTTCATTTGTGTGGGAATAGAAACCGCCGGACCCTATTCGTGTGAATGCAAGCCCCACGTGCATAAAAATATAGGAATCCCAAGGCACGGGAGTGGGCGCTCGGTTCGACATTATACCTATGCCCTTTCAGTGTGAGAATGGAAGGCCCTCAGGGCTGGAATGTTGCAATGTGAGAATGGAGGCCTGTCAGTGCTGGAATTGGATCCATGAACAATGTGAGTGCAATCGTGTCAGTGCGGTCAACCGTGCCAGTGCTGGAGTAGGATGAATGTGCGATCCGTAAAAAATTCCCATGTCCGTTCTTGCTGGAATAGGGTGGAAGGTAAAGCATTCCAGTGCGATCGTGTCCAGCAGCGATGACGTTCCTAAATTTCAGCCTTGTTGTGAAAGCGAAGAATTCCACGGTGAGGATGAAGAATTTCAATCTGGGAATAAGATGAATGGAAGATCTATGCGTCCCTCCTTCTTGATCCATCTGGCTAACTTCTACTGCTATGTGGTTGGTGGTGGGTTGTGTGAGTATTTAGCATCATGCTTTGACTGTGCGGCTCTGTTTTTGGTTGGTGGTGGAATAAATAAATAAGTGAATATAGATACTGCAACTGTTATGTGGTTGGTGGTGGGTTGTGTGAGTATTTAGCATCATGCCTTGACTGTGCGGCTCTGTTTTTGGTTGGTGGTGGAATAAGTAAGTAAGTGAATATAGACTAACTTCCGCATTGCTGACTGGTTTGTTGTCTTGTGTTTAGATGTACTAAAACAGTTGGCTGACGAGTATCGCCATCACCTTAACACGGGAGCGCCGGCGCCTGTCTTGTGTTTAGATGTATTACAGCGACACGCCACTAGCTTAACGCACCTGGCTGCTTATCTAGAACTTGGCGGCTTCATTTGGATGGTTGGTCTTCTGTTTGTGTTTAGATGTAGCGAACAATCACCGCTGATGTACTGGGCTACACCTTAACACAGAGAGAGAGAACGAGCAAGCTTGTCCTGCTGGTCTCCTTTTGTTTGTCTTGTGTAGTCAGCAGAAAACAACGTGTGCTCGCGTTCAATATCCAAAAATTTTATGTTAGAGTTAGATCGTTAAAATAAGTATGCTATTAAGTATCTAGGTAAATGCTCATTAGCTATTTGAAGTGTGGGCTGCAGAATCCTCCAGGCAGGACCAGGGGGCGACGAGGATGATGGCGGCAGGACAACTCCTGTCGTCATCATATCGATCTCCACCTGGTCGAGCCTGGGAGAATCTGCAGCCCACTTTAGCCACTTTTCCTAGATAGTGAAGCACCTAGTTAAGTAACTAGATACTAAGCTTAGAGAGGAAGACAAAAATTTTTGGGATTTGAATGCGAGCACTCTTGTATGTGCAATAGTGTGCTTAGATTTACTATAAGTATATGGTGTCGCGGGTGTAGCGATTGGGCTGATGTTTGGCGGGGCTGTTGGCTCTAGGAGCTTTCCGGCATCAGCTGGAGGACAGCTGCAAGGTGCCAGAGGTGGCGCAATTACCACTGGCCGCCATCAGGGAGGTCAACTAAATCAACTACATCATGGCAGTTCTTTCGGAATTATACCTCCAGTGAATCCGAGTAGTCACATTGGCACTCTCGGAGGTGGTTCCTCAACATCTTCGACGTCAATGGAGGTAGACCCATACCCTCCAGATCAACAAGGGCGCTCCTCCGTATTTCGCGGCGTCGATATTTACGGCTCGGTATAATTATAATGACAATGTTCACTATTCGTATTCTCTTCGGTTCTTGTCTCCTTGGGAATGGAGTTCTGAAGAAATGAAGAGAAGACGAAATGAATTGTCTTGAGCTCCTCTCCTAAGATCTTACTGCGGTTGAGCGTGGGCGTCGCAGTCGAGGCGGCAGGCTACAAATCGGCGGGGCCCGTGCCTCGACATCTCGGTCTCCTGATGTAGTGGGGCAACGGCAATGCGTTGGACCTCCAGGTGGCACATCCTCTTCTTCTTGCTCAGTTGGTGGCCTTAATGGAACTAGTGGCATAAGTGGTGGCCTTGGAGGAGGAGGTGCGCCGCTGTTTGCGACAAGAGGGCAGCCAAGTGCATCGCCAGGAAGTGTTGGAGGAGGTGGAAGAAGTAGCAGCGTCTCTGGAGGTGGGCCTGGTAGTGGAAATGGACATGGTGGAGCTTCATCCAACGGCGATAGCGTTTCCCTACCGCCCTTGCCGTCTTCACAGCAGCTAGCGCGGGAACTCGAGACTGCAGCTCAGGAATTGCGGGCACGAGGACTGTATCGAGCAACACAATGGGCGGCGGAGTTGCTGGTTGGTCTAGATGACGCAGCAATAAATGCTGAAGACGAGCAGGCTGGAGTTGGAGACGGAGAACCAACGTCGCTTTGTGGCAATGAAGACGGTCCCTCGGCATCAGTCAGAAATGGGAAGACTCATGCCCGCATCAACATCCAAAAGACGAAGATTTCCGCCGCTGCACGTCGGATTGTCACCGCCGCAAAAAGCCACTTCGACCTCAGACAGTACATGCGAGCACACGCACTGCTATGCAAGGTGCCGGAGAACGCACTTGGGCCTGTAGGGCTGTTCTTGAAGTGGTACAGTTTGTATCTAATTGGAGAAAGCCACAAAGAACAGGAGAGCAACGAAGCCGACGCACTTCAACGACCACAGGTGCGTAACCGCGAACTAAAGAAAATGGAAAGACACTTGTCGGATTTGAAGTTACGCTCAGGCTCCGTGTAGTTGTAATGTTGCATGTTGTCAGAATAGTCATTCAATAAAGGGCCTCTTCCTCTTATTTGGACAGGAGTCCGTTCTTTGTTGCAATTACCTTAGTGCAACTCGTGGCCATGCAATGGGTGGCGCAAAGTGTAGCTGAGTTGACACTTCTTCTTCTAACATTTCGCCAAATGCTTCTCGATGCGCACGGGTTGTACCTCCTAGGCGTCGTCCTCAAGGGTCTAGACCGCATGTTGGAAGCCAGAGATGCGTTTGGGGAAAGTCTACGCTTGTTTCCCTGGAATTGGAGTGCGTGGCTGGACTACCTCGCAATTGTCTTAGACCATCCCCGAGTGCCGAATAGTGATTATGCTTCGTCAGTCATCTACTTGTAGTTGTTGCATTTAATTAGGGGGTGTGGCATCTCGTCATTAGTTGTTTTGGAACCGGAATTCATCAATTCGTACTGGGAGAGGGAAGCGTGACCGTTTAGGTTTGCGCTCTTTCGTTGACACTGACTACTTGACAGGGACAAACAAAACGTTACGTCCTTCTTCTAATCTCCACCCGAAGACTGCTGGACGCGCCTCTTTTTTAGAGCAGCGGCATGCTTAGAGCTGCAGCAAAACGACGAAGCTCTTACCCTTTACCATCATTTGCAGACCCGGTTTCCGAGTTCGACGTATATTCTTGCGCAAATCGGTGTCGTGGAGTATAACCGGAAAGACGATGGAGAATCCCTAGCGACTTTTCACCGGATGCGAACCCTCGATCCTCACAAACTGGAATCTCTGGACACGTATTCCAATATCCTGTACGTCCAAGACAACGCGCCAGCGCTGGGACATTTGGCGAAACTTATGGCAGGGCCAGGAGTGGTTATTCTTGTCTTATCGATTTTTCCTGTTCTAAATCTTTAATCCTATGAAGATCTTCTACTTTATAACTTTTCTACTTAAGTACTTACCTTGTTCTATTTTCTCATCTGCTCGTCTGAGCGAGCGAATATCGCTCATGTCCTCGCTCCCTATGCGTATGGTGCCTACCGTTTCTAATGCAAAACCGGCCCGATGCGATAACTATATTACGCCAGAAGCGTGGCGCACCGTCGGAGGCTATTTCTCTCGCAAAGGCGAAAACGAGAAAGCTGCTAGGTACTTACCCCGTAGTAGTGCTTCCTTGTCGGCAAGTCTGAGTCTGTCTGTAGCTTCAAGAACATACTGCACGTTACAAGAACTATTGCATATTACACATTACATGATTGACATGCTTGAAAGTAACCGACTTACTGGCTGAGGTAAGCTTATTTTCGGTAGTTACTCGCTTACTTCAGTTTATGGATTGGGAAGTAGAATCTTGGTAAATATACTAGACTACGTCAACCTTAACACAGAGAAAGCCACAGGCTTTCAAGCGGCTCCCTCGTCAGCAAGGACGGCCGCGGCTTTCGAACAGACATCGACATGCCGGCAACATCTGCGGCGGCGTCCTCGCGGGCGCCTTGTGAGGGGACGAAGAGACGAAGGGTCGCACCCTCTGCCTGTGCTCCTTCTACTACTACTACTACTACTACTGCGCCTTTCTCTTGGTTGTCCACTTCTAACGCCGACGGGCCTCTGACTCAGGAGGCGCAAGGCAGAAAAGACGCTACAGCGAAGAGTCTACCACAAACGCACGCAGCTGCTGCTGGGATGACAGTGCCCACGGGTCTGGCAAAAATGAGGCGGCTGGCACGGAGAAAAAGGGAGCGAACCTTAGCGGAACAGTTAGGGCCCTCTCTTCGTGGAAGCATGTTACTCTTAGAGTCATTGCGTTACCATGTTATTCGTAGAGTCATTCCGTCTTGTTGTCCTTGTCTGTTCTTGTCCTACCTTGTCTGTTCTGTGTACGTCGTGACCCCTCTAATTCTTAGACGATACGCGCGGGCCATTGCCCTCAAATTCTTAGAGGACAAAGTCGCAACAGTGCGGAAAGAGTTGGCGCTGGTGCAAGCGGCGCGCCGCAGGTTGCAGAAAAAAGCAGCGCGGAGCGCACCAAGAAAGCCACCCCGGCCGAGGCAAAAAGGCTTGTGGAAAACTGAGCGCGCCGTTCAGGTCAAGCCGTTCCCGGTCGACAGGCGTGGGCAATGGACGACCGGGCTCAAGACCTGGGCCGCTTTAATTCACTGCGGTGCCAATCACTACCGACGCCGCCACGGACTTCCTGAATTCAAATTGTCCAAGACGGACGCCTTAACGCCCGCAGACATCTCGCGCGTGCAGCAGAACGACTGGCTCGATTTTTCTGAGCTCGAGTCGAAAGCTGTCGGCAATGTTTACGGCGTGGAGTAACCTCGTAGGCATGGGCCCAAGGGGCCACCGCACTCCCTGGACTCATCTAACTTGACTACAACGCTTGGGGCTTTCTTTAACTCAAATCCCGGGTGTATCTGACTCTCCTCGGGGTCTCTCGTTATATATCTAGCGCTAGGAGTCTAACGACCGCGCAGCCTTTGACTTGTGGGCTTCATGTAGTTAGGCTGTAGCTTCTTGAGGCTTCTTGTTATGCACTGGCTTAGTCTTAGGCTGTGGCTTCTTTCGGCTTCTTGTTGTGCACTGGCTTCGTCTCCTCTTTATCGCTAACCATTGTGGTGCTCGCATGCTGGTGCATTTGAAGGAAATACGGGCCAAGAGATTGTCCGACACATTGCAGAGGGGCCGGCGTCTAGATCGGAAACGGATCTCGTCAAGTTCAAGCATAGCCTCTTCCTCACACGTTTCGAGGATGAAGAGTACGAGAGCGGTGCCGTCCGTGCAAAGGTGTGGGAAATCTCACGCAAAGCGTTTGCGCGGTCGACAAACTTCCGACGTGCCACATTTCCCGTGCGAATTTGTGGCAAACCGAAGCGAAACCTGCGGGCGGCGCTGCAGGTCTTGCGGCGCTTAAAGGTTCCAGAAAAGTACACCGCGACCAAGTTGGGCACGTGCGTAGAAAAACTGATCTTATGCCAGGTCGTCTGTGTCGTGCTGTTCTAATTGCCACGACGGCGATCGCCTTCGACTATCATCGGTCCAGTAGTTAGCTGCTATGCTTGGCGCTTTCTTATCTCGGTCTTTCTCTCTAGGAGTTGGCTTTCCGCTCCACCTCTAGGCCTTACTGGCTTTGTGCCTTCATTTGTGTGCTTTTTCTGGGACTACCCGCCTGACTGTATCTATACAATCTTAAAGGAGATAACCGCTCGACCGCTCTGCATAACTCTGGCGGGCTCTAACACTCGGCAACGTGAGCCTCCGATCGTATTACTTTACGCGCCATATGCTCTGGGCAATCTTACACGCCCGAGAACAAGCAGCAAAGGAGAAGGGCCAACCTGTGCGCTTTCGCATGCGGAGAGAAGGACTCCCGACGAGTACGCAGCCGACGGGTCCGGCCTGTGAAATGGTCAAACTGCTGGGATTGCCGAGGAATCCGCAAACGCTGGACGCCTTACTCCTGCCATATGTTACGGCTTTTCCGCACTAGTATGCCCTTAGCGTCTTTCCAAGTATCTATGCAGTGGCATTCTCGGGCAGTACTCTCCTGAGCTTAGTACCCGTGCCACCTTCCTGCATACTTGTCAGATGGCGCGCATGCCTCTAATGTTGTACCTCGAGAAACTCGGGACGGCTTGCGGATGACGACCTTCAAGCGGTTCACGAAAACGGAAAAGCAAACCGAAAAGCAGGCCAGTCGTGGCGCCGACGGGGCTCACCACTGTAGTGGTGCCGAACAGGCTGGCGAGAAAACTGACGAGCAGAGCAGTGCTGGCGCAGGAGGTCACAAACGTAGCGGCGCCAAACCTGCTGCGTCCAACGGCTTGGGCGGCTTTCTTGCTAGTGAGCTAGGGACAGGAAACCGACAGGCACAGACCAACGGCCAAAATAGAGGACGAGGAAAGAACAGCGGCAACGCGGTGACTGTCGAGCCAGCTGGGACCGTCCAAGTGCGAGTGACGCAAGACTTGGGGAGTTCGTGCTTGCTTTGTCACGCTGGTAACGTGTGGCGGCGGCAGCGTGAAAGCGCCAGGCGGAACAACTTACCGCCCCCTGCGCTTGTCCTCGTGGTTCCCGACTTGGTGGCCCCCAACAACAGCAACAACAACGACGGGCGACGCCTGTAATGGTCGAGGTGTAGCATCCGTGTAGTCTGCGGCTGTGCGGTATTGTCTTTGACGTGTGGCACACACGCCTTGGGTTTGACTGTTTGCAAATGACTCACCATCCCTGTGACAATGGGTGAATGACTCGCCACCTCTTTGAAAATACGCTACCACGTATACGCGAAGTAAAAGCATGAAATTGAAGCACATCCCCCCACGAATGCCGTGAATATATATAGGGCTAGCATGTAGCAGGCAACTACCACGACGCTGATACATAGTTTAACTAGGAAACGAATGATAGGATGAAGACGAGTGATAGTCTAGCTAGGAAAGATAGCGTAGCTAGGAAACGAGTGATTGATAGGATGAAAACGAAGGATCGTCTAGCTGGGAAACGAGTGCTAGGATGGAGACGAGTGATAGTCTAGCTAGGAAAGATAGCGTAGCTAGGAAACGAGTGATAGGATGAAGGCGAATGATAGTCTAGCTAAGAAAGATAGCGTAGCTAGGAAACGAGTGATATGATGAAGACGAATGGTAGTCTAGCTAGGACAGATAGTGTAGCTAGGAAACGGGTGATAGGATGGAAACGAGTGATAGTCTAGTTAGGAAACGAACGGCCGCGACGAGTTATAGGATGAAAGTACGCGATTAGAACAAGGAAACAAACGCCACAGCTTCCAGGAGCAGGCTCCTACCAAAACGTTGATAGCTAGCAGAGATGGGATGAAAGTACTCGACTAAAACTACGAATAGTCAGACTCCTTCCAGTAGCAGGCTACTGCCAGAACGATGATAGTTAGTAATGATAGGACGAAAGCAAAGCACGCGACTAGAGCAAGAAATGAAACGTCACAGATTCCAGGAGCAGGCCACTGCCACAACGTTGATAGTTAGCAATGATGGGATGAAGGTGCGCGACGGACTAGAGCTGCTCTGAGCAAGTAAATGCCATAGCCTCCAGTAGCAGGCTACTGCCAAGACGTTGATAGCTGGGAACCTTAACGGGGTGGGAGTTCAGAGAGACTCCAAAAAATCAACACTCACCGACTAGGTAAGTTAAATAGTCTTAACTGGCCCGCCTTTCAGCGGTTCCAGCAGGAAGAACGAGCGAGGCATGAGAATTGCTTGGCCCCGTATGAGATAGGCCTTGGGCAAGCCTAGAACGAGAGCAAGCAAGAAGGTCAAAACCGGAACGCGCTCCCAATGGTCTGGCTCTTGACCTTGGTGAGCTTCTAGGCGTGGCCTTCGTCGTCCATTCTCGGTTTTAACTATATTAGGTCACAAGGGCCAGGAGCATAAGAGTTCAGATATCATTTGGTCGTGGATTGAGTTGCATTGGAAGTTCTTGAGCTTTCGACATGGCGGCTATTGCTTCTTCGTCTTCGTCTTTAGTAGCAACAGCAAAGCCCAGAAGGACAAGGCTGGCGACTACTGCTACGCTCGCACTAGTACCGAGTTAGTGCTTTTTTTCTTCCTCCTCGTTGGGCGTCTAGTAGTTTTAGCAGCAGCAGAAGCGGGACGCACACTCCTCCCTCTTCATCTTCGGCGCGCATCTTGTCTTCATCCAGTAGAACCAGCACACGAGCAGGCGCCCACCGTCCCGGCTCCTACAAAACAACAGCATCGGAGGCAGCTTTCTTACACGCCGCGAGGTGCAATTGCTGCTACACTAATCCCCATCCCCAAGACAAGGGGCTGCAGGGATAGCCAGGGCAATTACAGCCGCTCGGGTAGTTTAACCCTAACAAGACGATCCAGCACGTCCTTCAGTACGAGGCTGGGGCGTTTTTGACCGCGGTCATTTTAGCCTGACGGCAAGTTCATCATAGCGGTCGACTTTTTTTAGCGAGTGGCGGCGGCGCGCACTTTAGAGGCTTTGCGACTTACAGCGGCAAAACCGGCATTCCGAGGGGAGCTTCTAGAGGTTTTGCATGTTGCAGCGGCATTTCATTTCTAGAGGCTTTGCGAATTGCAGCAGCACTGCTAGCGGTTTTGTAAGTTGCGGCGGCACTTCTAGGGGCTTTGCGAGTGGCAGCGGCGCGCACTTCTAGAGGCTTTGCGAGTGGCAGCGGCGCGCACTTCTAGCGGCTTTGCGAGTGGCGTCGGCACGCACTTCTTCTTCTAGAGGCTTTGCGAGTGGTAGCGGCACTTCTAGAGGCTTTTTGAGTGACAGCGGCGCACACTTCTAGAGGCTTTGCGAGTGACAGCGGCTCACACTTCGAGAGGCTTTGCGAGTGACAGCAGCACTTCTAGAGGCTTTGCGAGTG